AGCAGGAATAACCTGGTTCAAACAGGTTTTGGATAAAGCCTTTAGAATTGGGGCCAGTGCCAGCATGGCCAGCAGGGTGGTTAGTCACTGCCCTGTGGGCAACACAAGCTGAAGGGTTTAATTACTGTTAGTTAAGATACACAGCAGGTTGTAACGTAATTCACCGAGAGACATCGTATTGAAACAAATGGGGGATTGTCCTAAGTTTGTGACAATGACAGCACTGCCGTTTCTTTTTCTGTGCTGAGGAGAGCAGGGTAGTTACGGTAACTGGCAAGCTCTGCCCCAGGTGTTGTTTTTTAAGAGGTGCAAAGCCTCGGACCATGCTCTAAGACCAAGATGAAACAGGCATTTGGCACCTCCAGCTATTGAGCATTTAGCTCCCTTCCCGACTCCCTGAGCTTTTCTGACATGTTGTAGTGAAATGCTGCTGTTTTCACAAATACTGAAAATTTAATTCAGCTCCTCGTGGAAGTCAGGAGGAACAGGAGCCTGTGCTGTTCACTGATGGATTTGCACTAAATGTGAAGAAATTAAGAAGTGGGAAAAAAAAAAGGCAAAAGGCAAAAAACCACCAACACCAAACCAAAAAAACACAAGTCAGGTTGCCTCATGTGGCAGTGGTTGGTGTCTGTGGATCTAGACCTTCTGTAACTGCTGGTCCAGAGCCGGGAAGTGGGTACGCACGCCAGCCTCCCGTGAGCAAGTCGCTCTCCCTGCCCTGGAAAGCCAGTGGGACCTGGGCAGGAGAGGGGTTGCCCTGTGCTGAGCCAGGGCCCCCTTGTCTTTCCGGAGGGAGCATCAGACCCAATGCTTAACATGAAGGACAGATGGGGATATAGAAATGAACTCATCTTTTGAAATACACTCCTTTAACTCGCATTTTGAGTATCTTAAGAGAAAACCAATTATTCAGTAAGTTGCTTTGTGATAATGCCGCTGAGTTCAGGACTAAGGGTACCACTGCCTGGGCCTTACTGGAGCTGGTCCCAGTGTATTTAGCACAGCAGTTTGTGATGCCTTAGCTGTGTGCCCCAACCTGTGCCAGTGGCACCTCATGGGAGGAACAGTATCCTTCCAGGATAAAAGTGACCTCCAGCTAGATTCCAGCAACCAGGATTACTGCTAGAAATATATAGCAATTTATAAAGTTGAAAAATATGACTATACTTTGTAACTAAAAATTAGAGATAGGCAGCCATCAAACTAAAGACACTTGAGCACTCGTGTATGTGCACTTTGTTATGGGTACAGCAGTTTAATTGAAAGAACGAGGAATATAGCTACTGCTGATGGAAGGGTTAAGCTAAAATCTATGATCTTCACCCCAGCTTCCAGTTTGCATTCGTTAATATGCTTGTACCTCTGTTTCATTGGAATCAACATCTGAATTTAAAAATTACTGTTCAATGTGAAAAATGCACCCAAATGATGCTTTTTTTAAAAGAAAGTTCATTCAATAGACGACCATCAGGGTTTGATACCAACATACCATAAATTTCTGGTCACATCTGTTTCTATTCTGTGCTTGCGTTTTCATCTAATGCAGCCCCTGTAGATCAGATGAGGAGAGGGGAAGCAAAGTCCTTCCTTCACTGTTTTAATCATGCGAGTCTCAACTCTTGCACAGGGCTAACTTAGTGGGGTCTCTGTTGCTGTCCTGAGTTAGGCAGGTGTTTCAAAAGAAATGAAGATCGATTGTGATCTGTGCCTAGATCACACGAGTGTGCTTTGGAAGCTTTACGTAAAGTCATCCGATACTCCTGTGTTTGAGAGGGAGATTTTAAAAAAGGTGAAGAGCTGTTATGGATAGTCTTCCCAGACACTGAGCATGGGGAAGATCAGTTTGAAAGGGAAACAGCTCTGCCTGAGGAAGGATTAACTGTAAGAACAATTTCCCTGCCGTCAAGGCTTCCTCTGGCAAGGTAACTACTCTGGGCATTTCCTAAGCATATTGCTTAAACCTTATTATCGGGCAGCTCAGCGTGCTTTTTGGGGCAGGACTGTACTTGTATAACCTCGTCCCTGGGTACAGATTGCCCAACCCCCTTTCTTCCCAGAGCTCTGTATCAGGACTGGTCTCTCGGGCAGGAATACATATTGTAGCTGCTACCGAAAGAGGTGAGGATCCCCTCAAGGCTGACTTTAATTACCAAACAATTATGAGGGATGGCACGGGAAAGGTGTGAGAAGACTTGGTAGTCTGTCACTCAAGCCCATCAGAAGCCAAGACCCAGACAACTTCCACCATACACTTGTGTATCAGTAGGGCAGAGCAATACCTGTGCTCAGTAGCAGGTTCAAATAGTCCTGACGTGTACGTGGCCGTGTTTCTTCCCGCAGACATCGATGAATGTGAAACCAGAGAGAGCTGCCAGCATGAGTGCAGAAACACCCTGGGAAGCTACCAGTGTACTTGTCCATCCGGTTATCGCCTCGCGCCCAACGGCAAAACCTGTCAAGGTACAGAGACCCCCTGAGTGCTCAGAAATACATGGGTAAACAGGACACAAATCATACTCACTGCATGTATAAGCAACCTCTTTGAATTGGCAGTGGGAGACTCAGCACTCAAAATCACAAGTTTCAGAAGTTTCTATATTTCACATTTTACTGTTTTATAAAACACCAGCAGGTTAGACAACTGCAACTTCTTATTCTCTGAAGTTTCCGCGTATGACCTTACGTTACACATTTAAATCCAGGCAATTAGCAGTTTTAGGGTCAAACCCCACACAATTCTTATTTTACTGTTTTATAAAACACCAGCAGGTTAGACAACTGCAACTTCTTATTCTCTGAAGTTTCCGCGTGTGACCTTACGTTACACATTTAAATCCAGGCAATTAGACAGCAGTTTTAGGGTCAAACCCCATACAATTCTTAACCTACCTTTGTCAACAAAAGGTACTGTTAGATTTTCCGGACTACAGAGAAAAAAACCCACCAAACACTTAAATTAGCCTCTGTTGGCAATAGATCGCGGCTGTTAGGGCAGCTTATACAACACGCTGTGCTGCCCAGTAATGAAGTGCCCCCAGTAAATAATGCACACTGGTGTAACTGGTGGCTCCACTGTCCCAAGAAGCGAGGCAGGATTATGAAAGATTTCATGGATCAGCCTTTACCCAGATAGTTTTTAACCCTGGAATTCTTCTACTAGCAATTGATCATTTGCATGTTTTTCACATTCAGATGTTGATGAGTGCCTCGAACAGAACATCAATTGTGGATCAAATCAGATGTGTTTCAACATGAGAGGAAGCTACCAGTGCATAGACACACCTTGTCCACCAAATTATCAGCGAGAGCCTCTTTCTGGGTAAGTTTACTTTCGGCCCTTTTGACACACCCCAAGCTCAGATCCTTAACCTGCATTCATTAAAGAAGAAACTTTAAGTTTGATTGACACCAGTAACCCTCATACTAGCAAAACTGGGTGAAGTACTGACCTTGGAGATGACCGTCGGTTTCTCCAGCAGCAGTATTCCTTGCGTCCCCTGCAGCACAACCAGAAAGCAGCGGGGGCAGGCGTGCTGGCTGGTGCTCAGCGTCCATGCAGCACTTCGCTCCTAGTTCAAAATGAAACAGCACCTGAACGTTCCTTTACTACACGAGCCCAGGGTGGGCAGCATGCTGGGATTCTTTCTGCCGATCTGCGTCATTCGTTTGTCACTTACGGGGCAGCCCGTGCATCTAAGTTTTCTGGCTTAACTTCTCTGAAAGCATAACTTGCTGCTGGTTTCAAAGCATTTAATGTATTATTTTAGTCATGAAAATAACATTACAGTTCATGGTAAGTTTTTTCATTTTTAAGTTACTCTATTTTCCTGTTCTGGAAAAAGCATATTAATGTCTTAATCATTTAATAGGAAATAGCTTGTTTTGTAGTCAGAAACCATTCTTTGTGGTCAGAGTTGACATGGGTAGTGGTTTTTGGCCTCTGTTAGAACTGACAAGCAGAGCTAGCAAAGATCTATTTTGACTTTTGATTCATATCAGTAAAATTCACTCTGCTAACCTTCATTCCCAGTTCTTTAGGTTAACGATCTAACCTAGGCACCTCAAACTGGAGCTGCCCTGTACTTTTTAATCTGACCTTTCCAACCCTGTTTAAGAGCAAGGCCACCAAAACATACGCCATTCACCTCAACGACAAATGCTGTGTCCCACACCATGATCTTGCCTCTTGGCTCTTTCTGAAATGATCCTGTTGAGGGAAAATGGGACGTTAAACTGGGCTGCAACAGGAATGGTGGCTAAAGGAACAATGGCTAAAGAGTTCATGAGCATATTATCTTTATAGAGACGTTTCAGTGTGCCAAAGAGTGAATGGGAAGAATCTCTCCTTTAAGACCTACTGCAGTACTCGGAATATTGTGCCTTCCCCCTGCGCTAAACTGCTCTGTTTATTCTTAGGTTCTGTCTCAAAAACTGCCCAACCAATGACCTGGAGTGTGATCTGAGTACCTACGCCTTGGAATACAAACTCCTTTCCCTCCCCTTCGGCATAGCGGCTGGGCAGGATTTGATCCGGCTGGTTGCCTATACTCACGATCAGGTCATGCACCCGAGGACAACTTTCTCAATGGCAGACGAGGACCCAGCAGTCCCCTTTGCCCTGCGAGATGAGAACTTGAAAGGAGTTGTGTTCACCACCCGGCCGCTGCGGGAGCCGAAGACGTACCGCATGGGAGTCAGAGCTTTATCCTACAGCGTCGATGGGAGCATTGAGTATCGGACAACTTTCATTGTGTACATAGCAGTGTCAGCCTATCCGTACTAAACACCCAAACTACCTGACAGTAATCACAGTATTTTAGCCACGTTCGTAAATGCTGGTCGGTGTCACCACTTCCAGACTGACTGCTGCCTGCCAAACAGCTGTGAGCCATCTAACTTGAAAGTGGTGCTCTGCTCTTTTCTTCTTCCCTCCTTCCCTGAGGCTGCCTATCCAGACCCATTATTCCCATTCAAGAGGAAAATCCATGATTCTGGGGACCTGTTACCACTTGCTTTATTTATTACACTGGAGTAGTCGTTTTCCACACTCTGTTCTGAAAGCCAGCAGAAAAATCAAAGTATGGGCTGAAGTATGTGGTCAAAGCAGTAAGCAAGGAGCAGCCTCTGTTGAAAGCAACTAAGAAAAGCCTAATCAGAAGGAAGAAAACCACAGTAATTCCACGCGGTCTACATATTTTAAAGGTTGCTAAGTGTTTTACGATTTTATATCTATTAGATTTTCTTTTTCCTTATCAAATACCTGATAGAATTAGGGCTGTAATATACTGTGTCGTGTGCTCAAAAAACCAAATGCCGCCGTACCGAATGGTTGCAAATGCTAAAACAAATGATATTGAAGTTTGTTTTCAGCTAGAGAATCTACAGTAGAATCTGGAACTGGTGCGATTGATTTCTGTGCAAGTTTAGAGATATCACTATTTTTTGGCAGAAAAACCAACATGGCTACTTCTACTTTATACAGCAGGTATTTTATAACTTCTGTTTTTTACTCTGACACTCTGGTATAGCCATTCATTTAGCTCAAAACCGTATCTGTTTCAGTACTCCCAACTCAGCCAGTTAAAATGTTTTGGGTTTTCTTGCAAATGAAACATGTTTTTCCAAAGATGATGTAAGTTTGGTTCAATAATGTCAATACACTGTACACAAGTAATTTTGCCAAGATGTATTCTATTTTTATGGAAGTGTATATATGTTTTTTCCTATGTGTATTTTCTACGCAGTATCTCAAGAGTGTTTTACAGTTAAGTTTGCATAAAAGAACAATGTCAATACATTGAAAATAATCAAAATAAAGGTTCCTGTTGCCTTTGAGACTGCTGTGAGTTTTATCATTGAAAAAAAATCCCACTTGTGAAGCACTTGCCCTTCGTGCCAGCAGAGATCACAGCACGCCCAGCTGCACACATGCGGCCAAGTCTCCTGTTTCCTGTGTTACTGGCTTCCCTGCATCCTTCAGGTTTCTTTTAAAAAGTCGCGGAAACCAGTGCACTTACCGTAAGACCTCTTAGTAAGCCGTAATACTTACAGGTGCTTACCTCAATTTCTTCTAAGGATGAGAATCGCACTGAAAATTATGTCCTTGAGGGACTCGAACTCCGCTGTGAAACAGGAAGAAAAAGAAAATTTCTATTAATTACGGTAAGCTTTGTGAGAAGAAAAAAAGCCCAACCAGTAACAGAGTTCAAATGCTCTAAGGCAGATCTATTACCGCTTTTAGCTTTGGGAACTTACTTTGCAGACGGACAGTGCTCGCGCATTCCCAGCCACAGCTCCGTTTCCGCTCTCTGTGCTCTCACCCTGCCTGCTCAGGTGCCCAGCTGCACCGCTTGCCCCTGCTGAGATGATGCCACAGGACTGAGGGACGAGCGAGGGCTGGGTTATTTGGGAGCTTTATGGTTCTGTCACTGACTGGAGGAAGGGAAGTTACGGATGAAGGCGAGTTCCTGCCAAGCCCTTCTCTTCCTTGTTCTGTATTACAAATTACCAGTTTCTTTTGCTCTAAGAAAATAATTGCCAGTGTTAAGTTAAATCTCAGAGGAAATACATCTACCTCCACAAGCGATCTGACCCTATTCCTCGCAGGTTGAAAAGTCTGTTGTTTCTCACGTAATAAATTTCCTGTCCTAGAGAGGTCAGAGGCAGCTTAGTATGTGGGTACATGGCCACATAAAATTGTGCGGTTTTAATTGTTAAATTTTTAATCTATTTTTAAATTCAAATTTTAAATTGTATAATACAACAAATTTCTACTGTATTTATTACTTAGGTAAGGTTAGGAAAAACATGGATGCAATTTAATTATTTTCCATAAATAAATTAATAATACCACACAGGGTTTTGGTGTCTCAGGGTTCTGCTCTCAACAGCTGTTTACAACTTGGGATAACCAGGGCTGGTCCAGGAGGCAATCCAGGCTTTTCTAGTGGAACTCCGTTATGTCTGCTTCAGTGCTGAAAGGGAACTGCTGGCTCTTTGCTGGCCTTAATCAATGTGATAAATTCTAATTAAAGAATGAATCAAAGAATATTGGAAATCAATGACTTCTATGTTAAAAGGCTGTTCATCCTTCAGCTTGAGGAATAGACACAGCGCCGTACCCTTCCCTTTATGGCCAGAGCTACAGAGCCACAGGCTCACAATGGACAAAGACCTGAGCATGAAACCACAGGGGAAGCAGGGCCAGGGATTTGTAGGGAGCGATGAAAGGCGCCATGCAAAGAATCAGGAACCCTGTTAAATAGTTGAACTATAGACATGATCTCTTTTCCACAAAGAAAGAGTTAAATTCCCTGTGTAAATATGTCAATTACAGAGCAAACACTCTTCCTCACCTGCTAAGTGTGGTATATGAGAATCTTAATTCTACCGACCTACACCCTACAACATCACCCTACAACACCACAACAAATAAAAGGTGGTTTTTTTTTAAAAAAAAAAGGTGCCAGTGAGAGCAATTGTCTTGGGGTAGTTCAGAAATGTGCTGAATAAAGAGTTCACTGTTTATTATAATTATTATTAATGCTTCACTGCTACCTGGTGCCCGTGCTACCACCCGTCTGTACAAGCCTCATGATTCCTGAGGAGGTAGCGCAGCATGTCCTCCCAACCCTACTCCTGAAACACTGCCCCATCACACCGGCTCCGTCCTCCCTTCCCAGGCCATACCTAGGCAAAACCATGACATTTCATTACCTACACAACCACGATTAAACACACCCTGTGAAAGGCGGGGATGTGTTCTGTACATTCCAGAGGCTGAGTTGGACATGCTGGCAGTTTAAGCATGGCTATCCAGTGGCACGCAGCTGGGCACACAGCCTCCCTGAGGTTCACCTTCAGCTGAAGGCACATGAGAGACTGGCTACCTGCGTGCTGCAGCACTGCTCCAGAGCACCCAGCCCACTCTGTATTCCAGGAAAATACTCTGGTACTGCTGAGCCTTTGCCAAGGCACTACCGGACCCACCTTTCCTTCCAGAAGTGATCCTTGCTTATTAAAGGCTGAAGGAAAATGCACACTAAGATGCACTAAGGTATCCCCATCACAGCTCCGTAAAGGTCCAGCTTGCCGATCCCTTGAGACAGAAACTCCACTGGGATTTTGTTCTCCTTTATGCACTGGCTGACTTGAACAGCTACTGAGTGGGTACAGCAGTGAATCAAGGCAGAACACACAGCCCTGCGGGTTAAAGGGAAGGCAAGTTGTCAGGCGAGAACGACCCTCAGAACAGGCAGGAGTAGCTGTGCTCACAGGGAAGCGTCCACTTGCCAAGCAGGATGCAGACTACTGACGCTAAACAAAGCGGGGGGCTCGTGAGTAAAGCAGTTGTCACCACTATCCCATCGGCGTGGCAGTCACACGCAGGAGACTGCTCTTGGGGTGCAAGTGGGAGTTCGGGTGCCCTTTGACTTCAGAGGAATTTCTAGTTCTGGCATCTCAAATCTAAGGCTGCTGCCAATAAAAACTTGGCACGTTACGACCTTTGAAACCCACGGATTACGAGGCTGAAATCCAAGCGCCCGCCCCCCAGTTGCACACAGGCGGAGAAGAGGACATGCAGCACGGTGTGAGGAGGCATCGCCAACACCCCCCCGGTTGTGGTTCATCACCCAGGCCAAGCGAGGCACGGGGAAGCCGCCCAGTACATTTCCATTTAAACTACTCCCTGCGAGGTGCTGTGACATACAAACCTACAGATGGGTGCAGGCTGCTGGGCAGGTCTGGTGTGTTGTTTCCGCGGGAAGCCCGCGGGCAGATGACAGCGCCTCCTGGGCTTCAACCTCCACTTCAGGTGCGACTTCGATAGAGTCCACAAGGTCAGCAAGCTGGTATCATCTGCAAAGATCCAACACTGTATTGAGAGTCAAACACTGAAGCCGGGAAAGTTAGAACATCGTCTACACCAACGTTCATTGGTGCTGAAAAGCCTGAACAGTCAGGGACTTGCTCAGCACAGCCCTATTTCTTGCTGGGGAATCAGAGACAGTTTCGACTCCTGCCCATACAGCAGCGCTCGCTTTGTCTGGGCCCGTTGCTGCACATGAGCTACAACACACCCTTAGCAACTTGCTTTGTTCTTTCTTTCCCTGGACAAACCTTCTGAGGCACAGGGTAGCTCTGGGCGTGCGCTGGAACAGAAAGGAACCACGAGAGAGTGCCAGCCGACGGCCAGAGCTGAACGGGGCTGTTACCTATCACCCACCCAGCAGCGCCGCATGAATAAGCCGAACACCCACGCACAGCGCATCCAGCTGTGCCCTGCGAATAACGTTAGGTGTAATCCCTAACTGGCAAACAGATTTTTTATGAACACATTTGCACGTCTGGACACACTTAACTCCGATCACTTTTCAGATCACCGAGTTCAGCTCTTCGGCATCTTCAGCGTAGAAGTGGTGCCGGGCAGCATGCGCAGCCGATTCTTCTGGTTTGACAAATCTAGTATTAGAAAGGGAGACAAAGGACACCTGCTTACAGATAAAGGCATATGGGTAAAAAAGGAGTGTTCTCTAATGTTTTATAGATGCACAGATTCAAATGATAATTTACGAGTAGCCAAACGATGGGAGCATCAGAAAGACGAGCAAGCCAAGAAGTTGTTCAGATTACACAGCAAAGGTTCAGAAGTGCTCTTAAATAACTCTGTGTGATTGCTGCGAGGAAAAGAAAATCTGGTAGAAAGATAACCTCAGTTAATTCTTCACTGTATGTGAGGATTAGAAAACGGTCCATTTTGGGACTGAGGAAAAGTTGAGAAAA